GTCAGCATATGACAAAATAAAAACCTCAGCACGATATCTCTGTTCTTCAAAATCCAGTGTCAATAGAAAAATTAAATATTCAGCATTAAATTGTATTTAGAAAATCACTTCCTAATTCGCCTACAGCCAAAAAATTTCAGCGGCACGATATCTCTGTGCTGTTTGTTCTTCGAAACCAGTGCCAAAAGCAATAACAATATATTTTAAATTCATTCATTATATTAGTTTATTTATAAAAACAAATTTTATACTATTAATAACAACAAAAAGAAAAAGAAACGTTTTTGTTTAAAATAACCAATAACAAAATCAAAACATTTATTTATTTTTTTTAATAGCACGGGGGAAGCAAAATTGAAGGTCAATAAAATTAAATAATTTAGCAAAATTTTGTTTAAATTTACATAAATTTTTATTGAACTCTAAACATAAAATATTAAATATATAAGCCTAAAAGTTTGCTAAGAATTTTGCTAAATAAAATAAATTTAAAATCAATTCCACACTGGCTGATGAAAAGTCATCGCTAATTATGAAAAAAGAGAATTGAATAATGCAAGTTTTCCTATAGAAAATTGCTCTAGAGTAGAGCAAGTTTTCCTATAGAAAATTGCTAGAGTTTAGAGCAAGTTTTCCAATAGAATGTAGCACTAGACTTGAGTAAGTTTTCCTATAGAAACTTGCTCTAGACTAGAGCAAGTTTTCCTATAGACACTAGACTTGAGTAAGTTTTCCTATAGCAACTGACTCTAGTCTAGAGCAAGTTTTCCTGTAGAAACTGGATCTAGTCTAGAGCAAATTTCCTATAGAAACTGGCTTAGTCTAAGCAAATGTCCAACAGAAATTACTCTAGTGTAGAGCAAGTTTTCCATAGAAAATTGCTCTAGTGTAGAGCAATTTTCTATAGGAAAATTGCTCTATAGAGCAATTTTCTATAGAAAATTGCTCTACACTAGAGCAATTTTCTATAGGAAAACTTGCTCTACACTAGAGCAATTTTCTATAGGAAAACTTGCTCTACTAGAGCAATTTTCTATAGGAAAACTTGCTCTCACTAGAGCAATTTTCTATAGGAAAACTTGCTCTAACTAGAGCAATTTTCTATAGGAAAACTTGCTCTAAACTAGAGCAATTTTCTATAGGAAAATTGCTCTACTAGAGCAATTTTCTATAGGAAAACTTGCTCTACTAGAGCAATTTTCTATAGGAAAACTTGCTCTACACTAGAGCAATTTTCTATAGGAAAACTTGCTCTACACTAGAGCAATTTTCTATAGGAAAACTTGCTCTACACTAGAGCAATTTTCTATAGGAAAACTTGCTCTACTAGAGCAATTTTCTATAGGAAAACTTGCTCTACACTAGAGCAATTTTCTATAGGAAAATTGCTCTACACTAGAGCAATTTTCTATAGAAAAACTTGCTTTACACTAGAGCAATTTTCTATAGAAAAACTTGCTCTACACTAGAGCAATTTTCTATAGAAAAACTTGCTCTACAATAGAGCAATTTTCTATAGAAAAACTTGCTTTACACTAGAGCAATTTTCTATAGGAAAACTTGCTCTACACTAGAGCAATTTTCTATAGGAAAACTTGCTCTACACTAGAGCAATTTTCTATAGGAAAACTTGCTCTACACTAGAGCAATTTTCTATAGGAAAACGTGCTCTACATTAGAGCAATTTTCTATAGGAAAACTTGCTCTACATTAGAGCAATTTTCTATAGGAAAACTTGCTCTACACTAGAGCAATTTTCTATAGGAAAACTTGATCTACACTAGAGCAATTTTCTATAGGAAAACGTGCTCTACATTAGAGCAATTTTCTATAGGAAAACTTGCTCTACATTAGAGCAATTTTCTATAGGAAAACTTGCTCTACACTAGAGCAATTTTCTATAGGAAAACTTGCTCTACACTAGAGCAATTTTCTATAGGAAAACGTGCTCTACATTAGAGCAATTTTCTATAGGAAAACTTGCTCTACATTAGAGCAATTTTCTATAGGAAAACTTGCTCTACACTAGAGCAATTTTCTATAGGAAAACTTGCTCTACACTAGAGCAATTTTCTATGGGAAAACTTGCTCTACACTAGAGTAATTTTCTGTTGGACATTTGCTTTAGACTAGAGCCAGTTTCTATAGGAAAATTTGCTCTAGACTAGATCCAGTTTCTACAGGAAAACTTGCTCTAGACTAGAGTCAGTTGCTATAGGAAAACTTACTCAAGTCTAGTGTCTATAGGAAAACTTGCTCTAGTCTAGAGCAAGTTTCTATAGGAAAACTTACTCAAGTCTAGTGCTACATTCTATTGGAAAACTTGCTCTAAACTCTAGCAATTTTCTATAGGAAAACTTGCTCTACTCTAGAGCAATTTTCTATAGGAAAACTTGCATTATTCAATTCTCTTTTTTCATAATTAGCGATGACTTTTCATCAGCCAGTGTGGAATTGATTTTAAATTTATTTTATTTAGCAAAATTCTTAGCAAACTTTTAGGCTTATATATTTAATATTTTATGTTTAGAGTTCAATAAAAAATTTATGTAAATTTAAACAAAATTTTGCTAAATTATTTAATTTTATTGACCTTCAATTTTGCTTCCCCCCGTGCTATTAAAAAAAAATAAATAAATGTTTTGATTTTGTTATTGTTATTTTAAACAAAAACGTTTCTTTTTCTTTTGTTGTTATTAATAGTATAAAATTTGTTTTTATAAATAAACTAATATAATGAATGAATTTAAAATATATTGTTATTGCTTTTGGCACTGGTTTCGAAGAACAAACAGCACAGAGATATCGTGCCGCTGAAATTTTTTGGCTGTAGGCGAATTAGGAAGTGATTTTCTAAATACAATTTAATGCTGAATATTTAATTTTTCTATTGACACTGGATTTTGAAGAACAGAGATATCGTGCTGAGGTTTTTATTTTGTCATATGCTGACAGAATTTGGTATTGGTGATTATAAATTGTTTAATTATTGCAAGTTTGTATGGAATAATAAACTTTTTATGGATTTGTTTTTTTAAAAAAGAGAGATATCATGTCAATTAAATGTTTATTTTTATCGTTTAGAGTTATTGCGTTGAAGTTTTTTTTTGTTATATGCTTATTGAATTTAAAATTATTGATTGTAAATTGTTAAATTATCGACTTTTTATGAACTTGTTTATGAAACGGAGATATCATGTAGGCTGTATAATGTTTTAATTGTATCGACCTTTGTTATAAATCACGAGAACTTGAAATAACAAGTTCACAAGTTAAAGTCAGATATTTGTATTAATTTGGAATTATAAATTACGGGCTTTTGAAGAATGCAGATGTTATGCTGGCAGAATATCGAATTGTTAAATTATTGTAGAATAATTACTGTAGAAAATTGTAATTAATGTAATTGTTTGAATACAGAGATATCATGCCAACTAAATAATGAATCGGCCTTTGTTATAAATCATAAGAAGTTAAGGCTATAGAACTGTCAATAATCTTAACTATAGATTGGTCTATAGTCGAGACCAGAAGTAGTGTATAGTCTTGTCTATAGATAAGATAAGTCTATACTAACGATTAGTCTATAGTCTCCTCTAAAGATTAGTCCATAGCCTCGACAATATATTGCTCAACAGTCTCGACTATATTTCGGACTATATTCACGTCTTAAGATTGATCTATACGAATTTAGATTGATCTATAAGAATATAGATATATATATATAGTCTCTTCTATAGTCCCTCTATAGTCTCTTCTATAGATTGATCTATGGTCTTAAGCATTGCCTTTAGTCTCCATTATAGCTTTGACTAAGGTCTAGACTATGGATTGGACTTTAGTCTATTTTCTGGGTTGGATTATGGTATCGATTATAGACTGGTCTAAGTATAGTTTAGACTATAGTTTAGTTTATAACTTCGAGTACCGCTTAGCCTATAGTCTTTATAATAATTTAGTATATAGTCACGTTTATAGTCTTGACTATAGATTGGTCTATAGTCTTGACTATAAATTGGTTTATAGTCTGGACTATAGATTGGTCTATAGTCTTGACTATAGGTTGGTTTATAGTCTTGACTATATATTGGTCTATAGTTTTGGATATAGATTGATCTATAGTCTTGACTATAGATTGGTCTTTAGTCTTGACTATGGATTGGTTTATAGTCACGACTATAGATTGTTCTACAGTCTCGACTATAGATTGGTCCATAGGCTCGACTATAGATTGGTCTATAGTCTTTACTATAGATTGGTCTATAGACTCGACTATAAATTGGTTAATAGTCTTGACTATAGATTGGTCTATAGTCACACTCTAGATTGGTATATAGTCTCGACTATAGATTTGTCTATATTATTGACTATAGATTGGTCTATAGTCTCAAATATAGATTGGTCCATAGGCTCGACTATAGATTGTTCTATAGTCTCGACTATAGATTGTTTTATAGTCTCGACTATAGATTGTTCTTTAGTTTCCACTATAGATTGGTCTAAAGTCTCGACTATATATTGGATTATAGCTTTGACTATGGTTGGTCTTATTCTTGACTATATATTGATTTATAGTATCGAATATAGATTGATGTACAGATTTGACTATAGGTTGGTTTATAGTCTCGACTATAGATTGGTCAATAGTCGAGACTATAAACCAATCTATAGTCGAGACTATAGGTCGGTCTATACTCTCCACTATAGATTGGTCTAAAGTCTCGACTATAAATTCGTTTATAGCTTCGACTATAGATTGGTCTATATTCTAGACTATATATTGGTCTATAGCCTAGACTATAGATTGGTTTATAGCCTCGATTATAGGTTGGTCTATAGTCTCGACGATAGATTGGTATATATAGCCTCGACTATTGGTCTATCGTCTCAACGATTTTATCTTGTTTTATAGTCTCGGCTATAGACCACATTATAGATTATTTTGTTACTTACAATCATTTATCAAACATATATAAAACAAATTTTCTATGACAAAAGACTTTAATATAAAAAATAAATGTTCTTTTATTGAATACACATTTTATAATTGTAACAAAGAAATGGCACTTAAATATAAGACAATTGACAAAATCTTTTTCACTCAGTTTTGTCCACGATAAACATTATTTTCAAAATTGTTTCAAATATTCTTTTACATATGAAATTAAATGATTTAAGGTTATGTACTTATGATTTGTTTGTTGTTGTTTTTTTTTAAATACTTAAATATAAAAGTAATTTACTTTTTTAAATATTTAGTTTAATTTAAATAAGTAATTGAAACTTAAAACTAAAAATATCACAGTTATCTCAAATATAAATACTATAGATAACTTTTTGTCACCAAGTCGTGGACAGTTTTTGTGGTTGTAGTAACTATATCTTCCACAGCATTGGCACAGTGATCGTGATCATGATCATCATGGCCTTCACCTTAAAAGAGAGAGAGAGAGAAAAATATTAGTTAAATAAAATATATTAAACATTACAAAATTTATTTATTTTTCAAGTATGTTGTAAATAGCTTATTAAAATGTTAATGCTCCAGTTTCACTAAGTCAAGTAGTATTGATATAGTAATATAACTGAACGATTGTTGTCCGCTCAGCAATAAAAGTTAATGCGTCACTATTACCTTATCACATTTTTGTTTTGTTTTTACTAAAAATTACTTTGTTTTAAAGAAATTATATACAAAATATTTATCTCTATATGGGAAAAAGTTGCAGTTTTTGTTAGTAAGTAAATCAAGCGCCATATTTACTTTTTTTTGTCCTACTAACAATGGCCTGTGAAATTCTATATAAATTATTGCCAAATTGTCAAGATACCAGAGCTATGGGTATTGTACAGAAAATCATACTTGTACATAAAAAAAACCATTATCTTTATAGAAAAAAATCTAATTTTGAAAATTACGTTTATCAGTAGTCGAGGGTTAATTTCATAAAGTTGTCGAGTTATCAACGTGTCAATAAATATGTAGTACATACTCAGTCAAATATGTTTAGGTAAATAAATAATGTTTTTTTTAAAGTGTTTGAGAGTGGGTGTGAAGAAAAGAGTTGAAGAATTTATTATAGTTTATCATTTAAACTGAGAGAAAACTTAGAGAAGAGAATAAAGATAATTTTGATCTGATAACAGGATAAAATTGATGGACAGAGATTGGTCTATAAGTCACAAATATAGATTGGTTAATAGTCTTGACTATAGATTGGTTTAAAGTCTTGACTATAGATTGGTGTATAGTCTTGACTATAGATTTGTCTAAAGTCTTGACTATAGATTGGTCTATAGTCTTGACTATAGATTGGTCTATAGTCTTGACTATATATTGGTATATAGTCTTGACTATAGATTGGTATATAGTCTTGACTATAGATTGTTCTATAGTCTCGAATATAGATTGGTCTATAGTCTTGACTATAGATTGGTCAGTAGTCATCACTATAGATTGGTCTATAGTCTTGACTATAGATTGGTCTATAGTCTTGAATATAGATTGGTCTATAGTCCTGACTATAGATTGGTCCATAGTCTTGGCTATAGATTGGTATATAGTCTTGACTATAGATTGTTCTATAGTCTCGAATATAGATTGGTCTATAGTCTTGACTATAAATTGGTCTATAGTCTTGACTATAGGTCGGTCTATAGTCTTGACTATAGATTGGTCGATAGTCTTGACTATATATTGGTCTATAGTCTTGACTGTAGATTGATCTATAGTCTTGACTATAGATAAGTCTATAGTCTTGGCTATAGATTGGTCTATAGTCTTGACTATAGGTTGGTCTATAGTCTTGACTATAGATTGGTCTATAGTCTTGACTATAGATTGGTATATAGTCTTGAATTTGTATTGGTCTATAGTCTTGACTATATATTGGTCTATAGTCTTGACTATAAATTGGTGTATAGTCTTGACTATAGATTGGTCTATAGTCTTGACTATAGATTGGTCTATAGTCCAGATTATAGATTGGTTTATAGTTTTGACTATAGATTGGACTATAGCCTCGACTATAATCTCGACTTTAATTGGTCAGTTGTCTCGGTCTATAGTTTCGACTAAAAATTGGTCTATAGTCTCAAGTAAAGATTGGTCAGTAATGTCTTCTATTGGTCTATAGGCTCGACTATACATTGGGTTATAGTCTTAACTATTGATTGGTCTATAGCCTTGACTATAGATTAGTCTATAGTCTCGACTATATATTGGTCTATAGTCTCAACTATAGATTGATCTATAGTCTAGACTAAAGATATGTCTATAGTGTCCACTACAGCCTGATCTGCAGTATTAACTTATGATTGACCTGTAGTCTGGACTATAAATTGGTCTATAGTTCCAACAATAGAATGATCTTCTATCTTGACTATAGATTAAATTTTTTAAAAATATCTAAGGAAAGTAATCAACTCTAGTACTTCCTGATTGATTTACTGACAAAGGCGGAACAGTTTATAGATCTTTATCTGTAAACAGTTATAAAATATCATATCAGACTCTCAAAATGTTATCACTTTAAATTAGTAAATGATCCAAATAAATAGTTAGACATTGTCACATAAATTTTTATTGTTTATGAAAACTTATCTCTTGACTCAATAAATATTTGAGTTATCTCCAAGTTTATAGACATTATACCTATTAGCAGCTTAGATCAGAGTCAAACAAGAGGAACTATTAACGAATATACTTGATCTCTCTTTAGAAGAACTTGATCTCCATCAGAGTTTATACGCTAAATGCCGCAGCTAGAAATACCAGAGTTCTTAATTTTCGATATGTCGATCTTTACTCAAGGCTCTCAAAGTGAGAGTCTCACCTTGAACATAAGAGGCTCGGAATATCTTATCAATTACATTTACTCCCTGTGTATCTACTATTATCACATGTAGAATATCCTAAATGGTCAGGTGCTGAATTTTACAAAAAAGGTTCTTGACTCCTTGGACTTGATGGGGGGTTTCTCAACGAATCTAATCAAATTTGTTCAATAATATACAGTCTTGACTTTTATTTGTCTATAGTCTTGACTGTAGATTGGTTTATAGTATCAGCTATAGATTATTCTCTCCTATAAATTGGTTTATAGTCTCGACTCTTGCTACGTCTATGATCTCGTTTAAATATTGGTCTATTGTATCATCTATATATCATAAGATAAGGAAAAGTCTGAGTGCCGAATTGAGTTTGTCCTCTCATCGTATACTACTCAGAGTTACTGTAATCAACTTAGTTAAATATATGAATTGATTTATTTGAATATATTCCATTTACTTGATTAATTACCCAAATAATGTCATCACCACCAACTCTACACTAGTTATTACTCAAAATTCAATTGACAGGAATAAGATTAATGACCTTTAATAAATACTGTTATCATTTAGTCTACAATTAATGAGTTATCAGCCTGACAACTAGTAGAAAAAAATTTGTTAGCTCTTTCTTAAAAATTAGTTTGGAATGTATTCTGTAATTTAAACATTTATTGCATTCATGTGTATTAATATTTTAATAAATAATTGCTTAACTGTTTATGATTGTTATCAGCGCGGACTTCATAAAGTTAAGGAGTTATCAACTATATTTTGACCATGAATGAGAAAAGCAATAATTTTATTAATCATATCTTGGTTTTCTTTCGGTTATTGGGTCAGTTAAGAATATTAATGGGTTTTTAAACGAGGCTAAAACTTTATGATCAGTTTAGAATACAATTTCGTTATAATAACATTACTTGTGAGATTATCAACTAATATCTCTACAGTTTTATAAAGTTAAAAGTTTTGTAAAATGGTGTCTAATTAATAGAGGTATTCCGTTACCTAAAGTAAAATTTGTTTTTATTAAAAAAAATATAAAAAATTCTTTAAGAAACAAAACAAATCTATAAAGTTTATGAGTTATAAACCATTTAATTATTTATTTAGCATGTACTTAACTTTTAATTAACAAATATCTTCTTATCTTAGCTATTACACTTAAGTTAAAGGGTTGTCAACCGAAAAAGAAACAAAGTTTCTTATCATAAGATGTTTTCCAAACTAGCAGCCCCCATACCAACTAGTTGCCCTAATATATGAGTTTGAATACTAGATAACGAGTTATCAACTTGTCAATAGTTAAATCATTAACTTGTTTGTTTAACATTTTTTTAACATTTACCGGGATAATTATTTTGCCAACAATAATTAATTAGTTTCAGAGTTATAAACGTAATCAACTGAAAATCTGTAGCTTGTCAAGTGTCAGTTATCAGCTAGACTATGTTTTATGTTTAGCATGTGATGTTATAATTTTAGCAAATGATTTTCACCATCAAATTAATTAGTTGCTGGGAATGTTATCTGTAAATGTTTTCGAGTTATTTGCTTTTAAGTTGAATGAAAAAAATTTCACTTTGTAGTTTGTTTATAACTTGAAAAAGCTGTTAAGCTGATAAGTGGCTTTATTAATATTGTAAAAATTTTGCTGTTAGATAAAAAAGTACATGTTTTCGAAATATAAACTTTCTAATCACTTATTTCATATTGTTTTAGGTATTTTTCCATATAATTTCGAGTTATCAGCATGTTTTGCTTTTATTTTGAAACAAAAATTTCAGTTTCTAGTGCTTATAACTTGAAACGGCTGTTAAGCTGATAAGTGGCGTTATTAATATTGTAAAAATTCAACTGTTCGATAAAAAGTACATGTTTTCGAAATATAAATATTTTAATCAGTTATTTCATATTGTTTTCGGTATTTTTCCATGGAATTTCGAGTTATCAACGTGTTTTTTTAATTATTAACATTGGGAGGTTTTTCTCCAGAACTCTACAACAGTACATATCATTATATTAAGGAAATGAAACTTAACATTAATGAAATGAAACACTACATTAAGGAAATGAAACATTACGTTAATAGAATGAAACATTTCATTTAATATAAGGATGTGGACAGAAATATAGGAACTCATATGATCTATTTTATGGCAAAAGGCCTTTACTCTCTCAACTGAACTAGAACTGAACTGAACTAGAACTGAACTAGAACTGAACTAGAACTGAACTAGAACTGAACTAGAACTGAACTAAAACTGAACTAGAACTGAACTAGAACTGAACTAGAACTGAACTAGAACTGAACTAGAACTGAACTAGAACTGAACTAGAACTGAACTAGAACTGAACTAGAACTGAACTAGAACTGAACTAGAACTGAACTAGAACTGAACTAGAACTGAACTAGAACTGAACTAGAACTGAACTAGAACTGAACTAGAACTGAACTAGAACTGAACTAGAACTGAACTAGAACTGAACTAGAACTGAACTAGACTGAACTAGAACTGAACTAGAACTGAACTAGAACTGAACTAGAACTGAACTAGAACTGAACTAGAACTGAACTAGAACTGAACTAGAACTGAACTAGAACTGAACTAGAACTGAACTAGAACTGAACTAGAACTGAACTAGAACTGAACTAGAACTGAACTAGAACTGAACTAGAACTGAACTAGAACTGAACTAGAACTGAACTAGAACTGAACTAGAACTGAACTAGAACTGAACTAGAACTGAACTAGAACTGAACTAGAACTGAACTAGAACTGAACTAGAACTGAACTAGAACTGAACTAGAACTGAACTAGAACTGAACTAGAACTGAACTAGAACTGAACTAGAACTGAACTAGAACTGAACTAGAACTGAACTAGAACTGAACTAGAACTGAACTAGAACTGAACTAGAACTGAACTAGAACTGAACTAGAACTGAACTAGAACTGAACTAGAACTGAACTAGAACTGAACTAGAACTGAACTAGAACTGAACTAGAACTGAACTAGAACTGAACTAGAACTGAACTAGAACTGAACTACAACTGAACTAGAACTGAACTACAACTGAACTAGAACTGAACTAGAACTGAACTAAAACTGAACTAGAACTGAACTAGAACTGAACTAGAACTGAACTAGAATTGAACTAGAACTGAACTAGAACTGAACTAGAACTGAATTAGAACTAAACTAGAACTGAACTAGACCTGATTATTACATTAATGAAATGAAACATTACACTAATAAAATGAATCACTACATTAATGGAATGAAGCATTACATTAATGAAATGAAACATTACATTAGTAATGTCAAACATCACATTAATAAAATAAAACACTACATTAATGAAATGAATCATTATATTAATGGAATGAAACATTACATTAACAAAATGCAACATTACATTAATGAAATGAAACTTTACATTAATGAAATGAATCATTACATTAATGAAATGAATCATTACATTAATGGAATGAAACATTAAATTAATAAAATGCAACATTAATTTAATGAAATGAAACATTAAATTAATAAAATGAAACATTACATTAATGAAATGATTCATTATATTAATGAAATGATTCATTACATTAATAAAATGAAACATTACATTAATGGATTGAAACATTACAATATAGAAACGTAACACTAATGAAATGAACCATTACATTAATTGAATGAAACATTAATGGAATGAAACATTACATTAATGAAATGAAACTTCTTTTCATAACATATTTAATTTACGTGTAATTTTCTCTTAATGACAAATCAATAAATCATTTAATTATGACGAATAGATAAAAGGGATTTTTTTATATAAATATTGTTTAAATAAAGAATTTTGCAAAGAAAAATTTCCCAAAAAAGTCGTGAAATGTACTTTACATTTGAGAGCTTGCAAAGAAAAATCACCTTCATCTTGCAAAAATATAAATATTATGAATAAAAATCCCCTTATTATGTTAAGAACGTGACTAGGTAGGCTTCAGTAAAAAACATTTAAATAAAAATAATATAAGAATATTGAAAACAAGGCTCTTATAGATGAGTTAATGAAGCGGTTTGGGTAATATTTCAGCTCAATGACTAAGATTATATAATTCTACTCACAAATTGTGGTTAACGTTATATTTATATATAAATTTTAATATGTTTATATAAAAAAAAACTCAACGGTAAAGAATTTTTAATAAGTTGTCAATCAAAATTTAACAATAAATTTTGTAAAATAATTAAACAAGTTATCAACATTATTAAAAGGTAATTAAAATTAAAGGGAATTTTATTTTCTTCGAATATCTTCTCATCAAGAAACCAGTTATACTGGGATATTTTCCCGCGAAACCTAGTGAAGCGTTCACTATAAGACTTACAAATTAATTTGGTTTAGTGTTTCAAACAAAAAAAAAAAAAAACTGGAAATTTTATATAAATAAAATAATTCAAAAGAAATGTGGTCTTTCGTTGTAATTTCAGCTCAGTGACTAAGATTTAAATTTAAATTATTTTAATTTTAACTTATTATTTATAACTTATGCACAAGTTAAGTAATTTATCGAATTATAAATATATTATCTAGATGCCTAAAAGCTTTCATGGCATTTCAAATTAATGCCAGTTGATGATGTTGAAGATAATATATTAGTATGACCCAGAAAAGGGAGGTATTGCATGACAATCATAGATAATTTTTTCCACATGGTAGTTTAAATCAATGTTTTATGATTTTATCAAAATATTTTGAAAAAGAAAATGACAGTTTAATGAATTTACTAACAGCCTCCATCCCTGACAACAGTTAGATTTGGCAACAGCAACAACAGTAACACACAACTTTATATGTTACTGACTAGAACTGAACTAGAACTGAAACTAGACTGAACTAGAACTGAACTAGAACTGAACTAGAACGGAACTAGAACTGAACTAGAACTGACTAGAACTGAACTAGAACTGAACTAGAACTGAACTAGAAGCTGAACTAGAACTGAACTAGAACTGAACTAGAACTGAACTAGAACTGAACTAGAACTGAACTAGAACTGAAACTAGAACTGAACTAGAACTGAACTAGAACTGAACTAGAACTGAACTAGAACTGAACTAGAACTGAACTAGAACTGAACTAGAACTGAACTAGAACTGAACTAGAACTGAACTAGAACTGAACTAGAACTGAACTAGAACAGAACTAGAACTGAACTAGAACTGAACTAGAACTGAACTAGAACTGAACTAGAACTGAACTGAACTAGAACTGAACTAGAACTGAACTAGAACTGAACTAGAACTGAACTAGAACTGAACTAGAACTGAACTAGAACTGAACTAGAACTGAACTAGAACTGAACTAGAACTGAACTAGAACTGAACTAGAACTGAACTAGAACTGAACTAGAACTGAACTAGAACTGAACTAGAACTGAACTAGAACTGAACTAGAACTGAACTAGAACTGAACTAGAACTGAACTAGAACTGAACTAGAACTGAACTAGAACTGAACTAGAACTGAACTAGAACTGAACTAGAACTGAACTAGAACTGAACTAGAACTGAACTTGAACTGAATTAGAACTGAACTAGAACTGAACTAGAACTGAACTAGAACTGAACTAGAACTGAACTAGAACTGAACTAGAACTGAACTAGAACTGAACTAGAACTGAACTAGAACTGAACTAGAACTGAACTAGAACTGAACTAGAACTGAACTAGAACTGAACTAGAACTGAACTAGAACTGAACTAGAACTGAACTAGAACTGAACTAGAACTGAACTAGAACTGAACTAGAACTGAACTAGAACTGAACTAGAACTGAACTAGAACTGAACTAGAACTGAACTAGAACTGAACTAGAACTGAACTAGAACTGAACTAGAACTGAACTAGAACTGAACTAGAACTGAACTAGAACTGAACTAGAACTGAACTAGAACTGAACTAGAACTGAACTAGAACTGAACTAGAACTGAACTAGAACTGAACTAGAACTGAACTAGAACTGAACTAGAACTGAACTAGAACTGAACTAGAACTGAACTAGAACTGAACTAGAACTGAACTAGAACTGAACTAGAACTGAACTAGAACTGAACTAGAACTGAACTAGAACTGAACTAGAACTGAACTAGAACTGAACTAGAACTGAAACTGAACTAGAACTGAACTAGAACTCAACTGGACTGAACTTGAAATTTTGCAAATTAAATAATGATTTGAAAAAAAATATCTCTCTTTCGACTTACCTATATTCTGCAGTCCAAACATAAGACCAAATCCAACAACCATCGCTAAAAACGAACCAAAGCCAGCATGTTGCTTCGACAAAATCTCAAAGAAGACCACATACAATAGAGTACCACAGGCAATACCCTGTAGAATCATTGATGCTATACTATCTTCCGAATCGGCTGAATTGTGGCTGACAGCAATACCGATAGCAATACCAATAGGACTGACAATGGCAAAGGTGATGGTATAGACAGCGGCTAAAATAGGACGGGTACGTGCCACGATCAATTCAACACCCACACAAAAGGCTAAAACCAATTTATGAGCAGCCACGGCACCAAATAAAAACCATACCGAGCTGGTGGCATCTTCCAGGCCAATGGCTAATCCCTCAAAAACTTCATGGAGAGATAAGGCTAAGACAATGCCCAAACCACGCAACGAAGAGGTGACAACATCATCACCCTCACTGGGATTGAGGGGTAAGTGTGAATGACCATGACCGCCATGATCGTGAGCATGATCGTGCGAATAGTTGTGTGTGTGATCGAGAGAGGGTTGATGCGAATGTTCTAACGAATGATCCAAGGTATATTTTTGTGTATTGCATTTGGGTGGTTCGGCGGGAGGACAGATTTGTATTTCTAAATTAAGGTTACGTTTGCTGTTAAAACCATTCTGATAGACTTCACCATTTTGAGAGACTAAGGTATTGACTGTATTCTTAGAAGCATATTTATCGGACTCTTCCTCTATGTGCTCTTCATCATCATCATCATCGGATTTATTCTTCAAACCACCTTTAACCAAAACACTACGTCTTACACTGTGACCCCGCTCAAAGGCTGCATCATCTTTCTGCAACAACTTTTTCTTATTTCTATGCAAATAACCATGTATACACTCCTCTATCAGGTACATCAATATAAAACCTGCACACATTAAAGTCTCCGGTACAGCAAAATTCACCTCGGCTATTTGACCACAGTGTTGTAAATGTTCCACTACCTCTTGAACCTCGGGTAGTAAGTGAATAAAGGTGGTGGCCAGTAGTACACCACCACCAAAGTGCAACAAATATGTTACCACTTTGGCTGAGCGGGCATTTGCATTGTTATCCGTCCATTTGAAATAGTGATTTAGCACGAAGGGTATGCCACCGAAGAGAGCGGTGGCACAAAACAAAGCAGCCATGGCTGCACATTTTGCCACCAAGACATCATGGCTATCGTGATCGTCTGACATTTTCTTGCACAATCTCGTATATAACTTAAATTTTTATGCAAATCAACGTTTTATTTTTGTTTTCTTTAACTTCACTTTTTTTTATCTTCTTTTAAGTTTCTACTCTTTTCGTTCGAATTTTAATTGAGATTCGAAGTTTATGTTTATGTTTTTGTTTTGTATTAAAGTTAATTTTAACTTAAGCTTTTGTTTAAAATTAAATTATTATATATTTAGTTTATTTTTAAAACAAAAGAAGATTTTATTTAAACAAATCAATTAAATAATTATTAAGTATAATGAAAAAAAGGTCTTTTCCGCCAGACCTGTTGTTTAGTACTAAATTTTTTAATTTCTGTTAACTGTTATTTTAACCAAGTTAACTTGTTTGTTGGACTCGTCGTGTGCTGCAAGCAAATGTTTTGAAAGTTTGTTACTTATCTGCCAGTTTGTAGAATTATTTATGCTCTTTTTTTTTGCTTGGCTGGGAGCAGCAGCAGCATTTACGAATGTTTACGAGTGAGTTTTACCATACAGCAAAACAAAGATCGAAATAGTTGTCTCGTCGTTAGTTATTTTTGGTAGTAAAGTATCTTCAAGTACTTGTTCGTATGTACAACTTCATTATCATTAACTTTGTCTCTTAATACTTGCAGCCACTTATGGGGGAGCGGGATTTTATTTTCAAGTTGGTCTGCTTTAAAAAGTATTTATTCTAGACATTATGTTACTTACCATTTATAGAAACCTTAAGCTTTTTTTTTTGTATCTTTTTGTTTTAAATATATCTAAATATCTCTAGACTTATGGGGGAATTTTGATGTCAGGTTCATAGCAACACATTGACATACAATGCTACAGAAAGTGTTTAGGATTTTTTCCACTGATTTCATCGAAACATGTGTACATACTGTAAACAGTATGTTAAGGTATGTAATCGTTGGGAAAAGTTAATGAATTCATGCTCAGCTTTCAAATACTAGTCAATCTTTTGGTGATAAGTGTCAAGGAAACTCAAACGGATCGATCCAAGGATCTATGCCATATTATCTAGGAAATACCTGGTAACAATAACACAAACCCCACTGAGGAACAATCAAGGCGATACATTTTAAGAGTAATCTTCAAACGCTAATCCATTTGACATGATCCTTAAATGCTAGGGAATTACCGAAAAAAATAATTAGACAGTAAAGGTTTCTGCCGAGAGTTAATACCACATACGAAGATTTCACATAAAGTACGAGTTTTCCCTATAATGCGTTATGCGATCCCTTAGCCACTTGACCACAAATGGCTGTGATCTTAAAGAAATACGATTGTAGCGAGTATCGGAGCCAATTTTCCCAATTTCAAGGAAAAACATTCCATTGTAATATGGATAAAGCAGAGAGACACAACCCACAATTCGATGGTACTGCAGAGAATCAATAGATTTCGACGGTGCTCCAGAGAAACAATAGAGTTTGATTACTGTCTGCAATAAGCAGACGGCCTCTCCAGTTAGCGATCGAGTAGGAACAATATAGACTAGACTCAGAGAGTGAGATATACTAAAACAATATCACAAGGATTACAAAACTTACTATATACACCATATGGACAATACCTGCAGATGACAATACCAACAAGAGTCTACACTAAGATTCAAGCACTGTAACAGCTACTGGCTCGATCTTTTTCTTCGATGAACTTCATTTCCATCTGGTTATCTAATGTCAGTATTGTTAGGCTGGAATATTCGTCGTCTATAAGGCCACGAGAAATATCCGAGAACTAAATCTCGAGACGTAGATTATTAACATCTTAGGCTTTCAACTCGAAAGAAAGTCGAAATATATTCTGAATTGCATTTACCAGCCAACTTAGATCACATTTTATCGATTAATATTGATTTCACAGCATTCTTTAGTCGGGAAAACAAAATCGATAATGTATGTGCAATTAACGGATACACCTTGGATGGAACTGTATATTCCTCTGACGGCAGTATCCAACGCGTTTGGGGGTTTCTCGATATAAATGAAACGAGTGGGCGACTGAAAAATCAGAACTCATGGGGGCAGGACAGGATTTGACACATGTCTGATCGTATCTGCTACACACGTAACATTTATTGTAGAAGTTGTTTGGATAAAGAACAGTCGATACAAGTCTCTTTCTATGTGAAATTCTCGCTCTGAAGGAAAGACGAATCTAATCAAATTTGTTAAAAATAGTGGATAGTTTCACCTGGAACCATATGAATAATACATCGCCTGAACCAGGAAACAATAAGGAAACATTGAATGTATAAAGCCAACAGATAATCAGTATGGACACAGCTATTGTCGAATTCTTAGAATACTTTGGTCAGTCTACACATAAAACCGAGATTGTGGAAATTTTATTGAGATTAATTAATGTATTTATTGCGACTACCATGCAATTAATTTTAAGAATTAAATCAAATCCGGAAATTGTAAATTTTCCAACAATAGAGTGTAAAACCCCAATGAATTATAGTGTGGTTTACAGTTTAAAATGTAATGTTCGCTACAGCATCAATATATTTACAAATGTAATTGTTTTAGATGATTGTTAACGGATCTCTCTTCCGGTGGCAAGCACTGTATCAAATGGGCATTAGGCTTATCGGGAATAATTGGTAATGAATGAACTGCTATGCAGGGAAGAAAGTTTGTTTATTCAGGGAAGAGAAGTTTTCTAAATTTTAGCTTACAAATGCAAAATGCAGTATATTCAAATAATCCCACATGAACTTGGAACTTTGGATATGATAGAAAAACGAGAATTCTCCTTAATAAGATTAAGTCCAAGTTTAGTTTGGTGGTATGAACTTTGAATTTGACACACAATTCATTAGTTCCGACGATTCGGAATCCGTTGAATGCAGAACATGCAATGAGGGTAGTGAAACGATTATAACTTCTGGACTTTTATTTTGATAGCTTGACAAAATTCTTCGTCTTTATGAATCCATATACGACTTCTTAATGACCAACAAACATCTACTTAGCTCAGGAACCAGACTTGTCTAAAGCGTATGTATCTATAGGCGTTTATAATCATATCTAAGATCAAGGACATTGGATGAAAATCCAATTGTTAAGAATATGACCTAATAGACCACGAAACAATGGGTCTAATGGGACACGAATTGGGAAACACCTAATTAAGTATCTCTGAATGAATCTCGAAGTGATTTACGTGAACACCTGCCGTGTTGGCCTATTTCACTGTGGTCTTTTTCAACCACAGGGTGAGCTTTTTTAACGACTCTCCATCGTCCCATTGTGCTTCTTACACGCAGATGGCAATTTACGTATATGGAATTTTCGGTCCAGCATACGTGAACTTTGCACAAGTAAGTACTAGAGCTATCTAAACTCTTGCCATAGTAGTCCCGTTGGGGAATGAAAGGTGTCATGAGTCCAGCTCAATTTAACCCCGACAGAGGAAAAGACAATCACTGATTAGAGTCGATAGAAGGGGCGGACCCGACATCAAGTGAAAACACCCTATTGGTACTATGAAGAATGCCATTGTCCCTATAAACATTCTCATCATCTAAAGAATCAGCCCAGTGCACTACTACCTTGTGGACGGCTCCATTTTTAATTGACAAGACTTATCTATTTCAGTGGCCACAAGGAACAAAAATGAGAAGCATGTTTAGAGTAAACTCCAACACACTCAACCATGAAGGAAAATCGCCGATAAATTAAAGATTAAGGCATTACAGATCCACAACATCAAACCAATTTCACCAACATTTCAACCGTCACTCCTTCTGTCATTTCGACATCTCCACAGATTCAACTCAGGACCCCTCTCGTCCATCAGATACAAGTATCCGAATGGAACATCTCACTCCATCACATACCCAATCCTTGCATTATCAATTCCAACATTTTATTAATCCACAGCCTTACACTGTGCTCCTAGAAACTAGGAGCGGTAACAAAAACTTTTCCCAAAAATTTACGTATCCCCGTATATCAATCTTTGGGTTTAAACCACAGCCACTACGTGGATCCCGAAGGAAGCTCAACCAACTGACCAGCCAGGACAAGTCCTGTAGGCAACTGCCACCCGTAGTACCAGATTGTGTGGTGCTCTTCAGGCAGACTAGAGGTACTGGCATTGCAATACAGCAAGTCGAGGGTTTTTCATCAAGGAAACATGCCTCGGGGGGAGTATCTCTGACAATTCGAAAGTAAAATCGATATCATTATATATAAAATACGATATCATTCAAATGTCAGCCGTGGAAGCGTAGTCACGAGTGTTTAAGATGGATTCAATTTTCATAATTCGAGCTTAAAAATTTCCCAAAATACCAGAAATTTCGCGTAGGTCTGGAGCTATTATATATGGAAAACGTCATAATTTCAATGTTTGCATCTTAAGCGTTGACACTATTAAAAACACTGGTTCCAATTTTCATGACTCAAGCTTAAATATTGACCAGCATTCCAAAGCAAACAATCTGAAGAGTATATGATTTGGTCGAACGATATTGGTATAAGGCGAACTTAGATAATACACGGTTATCTTTCCATGATTAAATAGAAGACGTTTAAAAAATGTTCACAATAAAATACACCGTTCTTATTGAAAAACCCTTTACTTAAAAAGTAAATCACATGGCTTCATTTATATCACCAGGTTCTGAAACATTTGTTTAACTAATATTGTTCAAAATTTGAAATTAATGCAAAATCTTTGTGGGAATTAATGGTACAATTCCCAAAATTGTTAGAACAATAGACTAATTTGCATTTCGATATATTGACTAGCATATTAATTTGTTGTTAAAGTCTACTATAAGTATATTATACATAACAATTCCATTGAATTTTGCAACTCTTTTGGTACTCCATGTTAATTTCTTTTACTGGACAAAAAGTACACTTTTTGACATGACACCATTTCTTAAAGAAAACTTTTCTCCTCTCTCTCTCTCTTGCTCTCGGTTCCACGGCAAAAGAAAGTGGTTTCAAATAAAACCGACAAATATTATTCCCTCATATGTAATTTAAAACAATACATACTTGTTAATTGATCGGGGGAACTAAACAATGCGTCACTTAATTGTAATGGATTATTGAAAACACTCTTTGAAAGTTGGAAACTTAAACGTCACCATATTTTTTCTGTTGGTTTGTTGTGAGTGGATCAAGACGAGATTTGTTTTTGAAAAAAGTGGTTTATAACCAGTTTCTCACTAAAAAATATTTTACACGTTTTTTCATATTTTACGCTTGAGTTTAATTTTTCTTTATTTGTTTATTTTTCTTTACTAAAAAACCCAAATGCAATGATGAATCATGACTTGAGAAATGCAAATGTTGTATGTGGTCAGTGTATGCCAGAGATGGGAAGTTGTTTATTGTAGAAAATTTGTTTATTTGGGAGTTTCCTTTGGATTGAATCAAAACAAATAATCTGCTCTGAGGTTTCTTTAGGGAAAGAATTAGAAATATTTTGACCTTTGCAAGTCAAGTGGAAATGAGGTCAGTGTATATCAGAGATGGGAAGTTGTTTATTGTAGAAAATTTGTTTATTTTGGAGTTTCTTTTGGATTGAATCAAAACGAATAATCTGCACTTAAATCTGCTCTGAGGTTGCATCAAGGAAAGAATTTTAAATATTTTGACCTTTGCAGGTCAAGTGGAAATGTGGTCAGTGTATGCCAGAGATGGGAAGTTGTTAATAGTAGAAAATTTGTTTATTTTGGAGTTTCCTTTGAATTGAATCACTCAAATCTGCTCTGAGGTTTCATCAAGGAAAGAATTTTAAATATTTTGACCTTTGACCTTTGCAGGTCAAGTGGAAATGTGGTCAGTGTATATCAGAGATGGGAAGTTGTTTATTATAGAAAATTTGTTTATTTTGGAGTTTCTTTTTATTTGGAACAAAACTCTCAAATGCTCTGAAGTTTCATCAAGAGAATAATGTTAAATATTTTGAACTTTGACCCTGGCGATTAAAGCTTTCTCTATTGCAGAACGGCTTAATGTTAAACGTTGCTGACTAAAACTAATTA